ACACACCTACTCATTCAAAGGTTTTTCTTTATTTTTACTATTTTCTACATTTTAGAATAATAGTGAAGAGATCAAAACTATGAAATAACACATATGGAATCATGTAGTAACCAAAAAAGTGTTAAACAAATCAAAATGTATTTTATATTCTTCAAATTAGCCACCCTTTGCCTTGATGACAGCTTTGCACACTCTTGGCATTCTCTCAACCAATTTGAATGAAAACGAGTCGTCTCTCGTTGATTGCCAACAAATACTTTATTGACGAATCCCTACTGTTGACCAATCACCGATGAAGTAGTGTAGACTTCGGCTACCGACTCCGGCTTGCCTCCCCCAAAAAATGTGTGTGCTCAAACAGACGAATAAACGCTTACCGAAGTCCAAAACGAACAAAAACGTCCAAAATGTCCTCATAATATATGCGCAAACTCTTCCGAACTGTTTTGGCTGGTGGTTGGAAGAGCGCACTTGTTTGAAATGTAAAAGCATCGCGGTAGCTATTGATATAGAAGAACATCAAGATGAAGCAGCTGCTTTACAAGTGGGATGCACTGTTGAGTGCTACATCCCGAGGGGTTTGTGCGGATTGTGACAACTGGTTAAATGGCGTCGAATGGGGGCAAGAGATGTGAGTTGTTTTGCTCACAAGAAAAGGGAGTGATTACTGTGTTAGCGGTAAATGTGAAAGTTGACCAACTGAAGGGGAAGATTGTGATGCTCGTCGTTTGGTGCGACGCAGAGTGGTGAAACAGAAGAGTCATTATCTGTTCATTTGAGTTTTGATGTTGAGTCTTTGCTCGACAAAGTGATGTTAGGATATACTGTATAAGTTATCCTGTAGGAGCTTTTGTGCTGAATACATTACGTTGTTACAGGTGTCAAACTTATGCGCATGTGGTAGCAGTTTGTAAGAGGGAGGTCTGAGAAGTGTGCAGAAGGGCATGAGACAAAGGAATGTGTAGCATTGGGGAAAGTAGTGGTATGTGTTAATTTTAGGGGTGCCCATGGGGCTGGGGATCAGAAATGTCTGGTGCGAGAGATGCAGGTTGAGGTTTCCAGGGTTAGAGTAGTGCAGAAGCTGTCATATGCTGAGGCAGTGAAAAAATAGGAAGATGGGTCAAGGGGTAGGGATCCTGAGAGGAGTGGTGTGAGTAGTAGATCCGTACTAGTACAGAGGGATAGGCCAACAAGTGATATATGTTTCAGTAAGATTGGATTTATAGCAATGGTTATCATCTGTACTGCAGGGATGGAATGTAGGTCGCAGAAAATGGATGTTGTGGTGGCAGCTGCAGAGAGGTATTTGGGTGTTCGAGACTTGACGTCAGAATCAAATCAAATCAAATCAAATCAAATTTTATTGGTCACATGCGCCGAATACAACAGGTGCAGACATTACAGTGAAATGCTTACTTACAGCCCTTAACCAACAGTGCATTTATTTTAAACAAAAAAAGTAAGAATAAAACAACAACCAAAAAAAGTGTTGAGAAAAAAAAGAGCAGAAGTAAAATAAAGTGACAGTAGGGAGGCTATATATACAGGGGGGTACCGTTGCAGAGTCAATGTGCGGAGGCACCGGCTAGTTGAGGTAGTTGAGGTAATATGTACATGTGGGTAGAGTTAAAGTGACTATGCATAAATAATTAACAGAGTAACAGCAGCGTAAAAAGGATGGGGTGGGGGGGCAGTGCAAATAGTCCGGGTAGCCATGATTAGCTGTTCAGGAGTCTTATGGCTTGGGGGTAGAAGCTGTTGAGAAGTCTTTTGGACCTAGACTTGGCACTCCGGTACCGCTTGCCGTGCGGTAGCAGAGAGAACAGTCTATGACTAGGGTGGCTGGAGTCTTTGACAATTTTGAGGGCCTTCCTCTGACACCGCCTGGTATAGAGGTCCTGGATGGCAGGAAGCTTTGTCCCAGTGATGTACTGGGCCGTACGCACTACCCTCTGTAGTGCCTTGCGGTCGGAGGCCAAGCAGTTGCCATACCAGGCGGTGATGCAACCAGTCAGGATGCTCTCGATGGTGCAGCTGTAGAATCTTTTGAGGATCTGAGGACCCATGCCAAATCTTTTTAGTCTCCTGAGGGGGAATAGGCTTTGTCGTGCCCTCTTCACGACTGTCTTGGTGTGTTTGGACCATGATAGTTCGTTGGTGATGTGGACACCAAGGAACTTGAAGCTCTCAACCTGTTCCACTACAGCCCCGTCGATGAGAATGGGGGCGTGCTCAGTCCTATTTTTTTTCCTGTAGTCCACAATCATCTCCTTTGTCTTGGTCACGTTGAGGGAGAGGTTGTTGTCCTGGCACCACACGGCCAGATCTCTGACCTCCTCCCTATAGGCTGTCTCATCATTGTCGGTGATCAGGCCTACCACTGTTGTGTCGTCGGCAAACTTAATGATGGTGTTGGAGTCGTGCCTGGCCATGCAGTCATGGGTGAACAGAGAGTACAGGAGGGGACTGAGCACGCACCCCTGAGGGGCCCCCGTGTTGAGGATCAGTGTGGCAGATGTGTTGTTACCTACCCTTACCACCTGGGGGCGGCCCATCAGGAAGTCCAGGATCCAGTTGCAGAGGGAGGTGTTTAGTCCCAGGATCCTTAGCTTAGTGATGAGCTTAGAGGGCACTATGGTGTTGAATGCTGAGCTGTAGTCAATGAATAGCATTCTCACGTAGGTGTTCCTCTTGTCCAGGTGGGAAAGGGCAGTGTGGAGTGCGATAAAGATTGCATCATCTGTGGATCTGTTGGGGCGGTATGCAAATTGGAGTGGGTCTAGGGTTTCTGGGATAATGCTGTTGATGTGAGCCATGACCAGCCTTTCAAAGCACTTCATGGCTACAGACGTCAGTGCTACGGGTCGGTAGTCATTTAGGCAGGTTATCTTAGAGTCCTTGGGCACGGGGACTATGGTGGTCTGCTTGAAACATGTTGGTATTACAGACTCAGTCAGGGACATGTTGAAAATGTCAGTGATGACACTTGCCAGTTGGTCAGCACATGCTCGGAGTACACGTCCTGGTAATCCGTCTGGCCCTGCAGCCTTGTGAATGTTGACCTGCTTAAAAGTCTTACTCACATCGGCTACGGAGAGCGTGATCACATAGTCATCCGGAACAGCTGGTGCTCTCATGCATGCTTCAGTGTTGCTTGCCTCGAAGAGAGCATAGAAGTGGTTTAGCTCGTCTGGTAGGCTTGTGTCACTGGGCAGCTCGCGGCTGTGCTTCCCTTTGTAGTCTGTAATCGTTTTCAAGCCCTGCCACATCCGACGAGCGTCAGAGCCAGTGTAGTATGATTCAATCTTAGACCTGTATTGACTCTCTGCCTGTTTGATGGTTCGTCGGAGGTCATAGCGGGATTTCTTATAAGCGTCCTGGTTAGAGTCCCGTTCCTTGAAAGCGGCAGCTCTACCCTTTAGCTCAGTGCGGATGTTTCCTGTAATCCATGGCTTCTGGTTGGGGTATGTACGTACGGTCACTGTGGGGACGACATCATCGATGCACTTATTGATGAAGCCAGTGACTGATGTGGTGTACTCCTCAATGCTGTCTGAAGAATCCCGGAACATGTTCCAGTCTGTGCTAGCAAAACAGTCCTGTAGCTTAGCATCTGCGTCATCTGACCACTTTTTTATTAACCGAGTCACTGGTGCTTCCTGCTTTAGTTTTTGCTTATAAGCAGGAATCAGGAGGATAGAGTTATGGTCAGATTTGCCAAATGGAGGGCGAGGGAGAGCTTTGTATGCGTCTCTGTGTGTGGAGTAAAGGTGGTCTAGAGTTTTTTTCCCTCTTGTTGCACATTTAACATGCTGGTAGAAATTAGGTAGAACGGATTTAAGTTTCCCTGCATTAAAGTCCCTGGCCACTAGAAGCGCTGCATCTGGATGAGCGTTTTCCTGTTGATTAATGGCCTTGTACAACTCATTCAGTGCAATCTTAATGCCAGCATTGGTTTGTGGTGGTAAATAGACAGCTATGAAAAATATAGATGAAAACTCTCTTGGTAAATAGTGTGGTCTACAGCTTATCATAAGATACTCTACCTCAGGCGAGCAAAACCTCGAGACTTCCTTAGTATTTGATTTTGTGCACCAGCTGTTGTTTACAAATATACACAGACCGCCACCGCTTGTCTTACCGGAGTCGGCCGTTCTGTCCTGCCGATGTAGCGTATAGCCTGCTAGCTGAATGTTATCATTGTTGTCGTTCAGCCACGACTCCGTGAAACATAAGATATTACAGTTTTTAATGTCCCGTTGGTAGGATAACCGTAATCTTAAATCGTCCACTTTATTTTCAAAAGATTGAACGTTGGCTAATAGGATTGATGGAAGAGGCAGTTTACTCGCTCGCCGTCGGATCCTTACAAGGCACCCCGATCTTCGTCCGCGATATCTCCGTCTCTTCCTCACGCGAATGACGGGGATTTGGGCCTTGTCGGGTGTCTGTATCATATCCTTCGCGGCCGCCTCATTGAAGAAAAAATCTTCGTCCAATACGAGGTGAGTAATCGCTGTCCTGAAATCCAGAAACTCTTTTTGGTTATAAGAGACGATGGCAGAAACATTATGTACAAAATAAATTACAAATAACGCGGAAAAACACACATAATAGTACAATTGGTTAGAGGGCTGTAAAACGGCAGCCATCTTCTCCGGCGCTGTTCTAAGTGGTAGTGTCCCATCCTTTCAGGCTATTGGCCTGATGTAGGACTAAATATATTTTAATAGTGCAGTAGGATAGTGTTTTTATTTTTTATTTAAGTGAGTGTAGGGTTAGATGGTAGGGTATTTGTCTATTTTTCAAAAAGTATAAAGGAGTTATACTCCAGTCTAGTAGGTGGCGGTAATGCAACATTTATTGAATAACAACTGCTGTAAACCTCATCGAAGAAGAAATTTTTTTGGGCTGGAAAGCAGCCTGACATCTTTATTGAAAATGCGTTTTTCTGCAGGAACAGCAGAACATTATTCTGGCAGCACAACGGCAAAATAATGATGTTTTGGCTACTTCAGCAGAGGAACTAACATTCATCAAAGGTTAGTGGCCTATTACATTTACAGATTCATCTGTTTTATTCCATTATTACTGACCAATGTAGGACTGTTTGTTTATTTTTGTTATAAGGTGTAGGCTACTTTGCAAGATGTGCGTTGTCTTTATCTGAGTAATGATTGCAGACCAGTGCTTGAATAATTTGCATTGCATTCAACATAATTTTACATTTGAAATAACTTAGCCTACATAACTGTCGTACATAAACAATGAATAGGTCCTCATTATTACAAAACGTCAATCTGAAAATGTAATATAATGCTATAATTACATTTCCCCTAGTGATCTTAGCAATGAGAAGAGCAAAGCATGTTACAGAAGCTGTGCTGTGTGATTCTACTCATCATCCAGAGGGACACAGAAAGTAGGTTTCCAATTGATGTCATAAAATGTCATACTTTCGAGTGCATTTTTTTTCCTTTTTCTTTTTCTTATTGACACAAGGCAAGGCAATAACAACCACCAAACACACAATCCCACCATTAAATTGTAGTCCTGGTCCTTCTAGGGTACAATAAGGCACACACATCAGCTCAGTATGTTTACTATGTTTTTAACTCAGTATGTTTACTATGTGTTTAACTCAGTATGTTTACTATGTTTTTAACTCAGTATGTTTACTATGTGTTTAACTCAGTATGTTTACTACGTTTTTAACTCAGTATGTTTACTATGTGTTTAACTCAGTATGTTTACTATGTTTTTAACTCAGTATGTTTACTATGTTTTTAACTCAGTATGTTTACTATGTTTTTAACTCAGTATGTTTTGAGACATGCTGAGCATGCGCAAGTATCTGGGAATGTATTGAATATCTTACTCTTGAATAAGTGTAGGGATAGATTCAAGGCTTTTGGCTTATTATTCTAAGAACATATTCTAATAACAGCTTCAGCCTAGACTGGACCCAGATCATGTGCTTTAGCGATCTCCTCTGACTATGGCTGCACAAATGGGTTTTGGTTCAAATATTGAGCAATTGGCACATTTTTGTTGTTGTTGCAATATCAAAATTTCAGCATCAATTGGATGTCATATTTCATAAGCACAGCTAAATACAAATATACAAATAATGGTCTTATCAGTGTGTTTAGGTAACATCTCTGTTTATTAGAGTTCATAAGCATCTATTCTACAGGTATCTTTTGGACAGTGTTTTTGGCTTGTGTTTTCTCTTCAGGTACACAGGTGATTGGAGGACGCAAGACTGTGGTACAGGGGGAGGATGTGGACTTATCCTGCAGACTGATAGAGACAACCGAGGACCTCGAACAGATAACATGGCAGAAAAGTACTTTGGAAGAAACACAGAACCATAATTTTATGCTGATTTATCCGAATGGGGATACTAAGTTTATTGCACTGAATGGATTGAAAGGTAGAGTCCAGTTTATTGGGAACCCATCAGAAAACCTTGGATCTATTCGAATAACAGCTGTCAGACTGTTGGATGAAGGCACCTTCACATGTATATTCAGTGTTTTCCCCAGTGGAGCATACAATACAGAGATACCTCTGACTGTGATTGGTAAGAACTCTTTCTTCACTCTTTGTATCACTGTTTCTACATTTGACAGTGTAGAAAGACTGTTTGTGATAATCAACACTAGACAGCTAAAAAGTTGGTAGGTTATTATTATTTATTTTTTTAAAGATTTTATTTTATCTTTTATAAACAATACAAAACATAGACATACAAATGACTACATCATACAAACATCAACTATATCACACCCACCCAGACCCACTAGCCCCCACCCCAATCTCCAGCGCCGCAACGCTTTCTGCCACATGGCCTCAAACGCTTTCTGCCACATGGCCTCAAACGCTTTCTGCCACATGGCCTCAACGCTTTCTGCCACATGGCCTCAAACGCTTTCTGCCACATGGCCTCAAACGCTTTCTGCCACATGGCCTCAAACGCTTTCTGCCACATGGCCTCAAACGCTTTCTGCCACATGGCCTCAAACGCTTTCTGCCACATGGCCTCAAACGCTTTCTGCCACATGGCCTCAAACGCTTTCTGCCACATGGCCTCAAACGGCACAATTTTGTTTCTCTCCGTCGCACACTGTCTTTCAATTTTTTAATATTAAAGCATTTGACCTTTCCATTGTGTGAAAGACGGAGGATTGGCTTATCTCCAGCTTTTGAGTATATGTTTTGTTTAAAGATTATTGATGAGAAGAGTATTGTCCAACCCATCGGGTATCTCATTGCACCCTCATATGTCATGTCTTGAAATATACAGACAGACAAATTAATAGTACATTTACATTGCAATACTTCTGACATCCATCTTTCCAACTCCGCCCATAACTTTTGAATTGTGTAACATTCCCAGAAGGCATGAATGATTGAGTCATTAGTAGTTTGACACTTCAGACATGACTGCCGATGTGCGGTAGAATTTGTGAATTTTGTGTCTTGTATGTAAATTCTAAACATTAATTTATTCTGGATTAAGCGTACATTTTCGTTAACTGTAATCTCGTTAGTTATGTTCCAACATTCCCTCCATCTTGTGCCAATATCAGTTCTTTTTAAATCTGTGATGTGGTGATGTTGAAGGAGTCAGGCACAGGATGGTCAATCACAGAATAACAGGCTTTATTCCGCAAATACAGAGTTGCGCAGAAATGCGTCAAAAACACTCCAGTGCGCAAAACAGGCGCACTGGAAAATACAAGGCACACAGGGACATATCCCAGCGATACAAAATACACGGAGCTCCACCGAGCTTCACTATCCTCCACAATAAACAATCACACACAAAGACAAGGGGGCAGAGGGAACACCACAGTGGGAAAAAAAGTATTTAGTCAGCCACCAATTGTGCAAGTTCTCCCACTTAAAAAGATGAGAGAGGCCTGTCATTTTCATCATAGGTACACGTCAACTATGACAGACAAATTGAGAAAAAAAATCCAGAAAATCACATTGTAGGATTTTTAATGAATTTATTTGCAAATTATGGTGGAAAATAAGTATTTGGTCACCTACAAACAAGCAAGATTTCTGGCTCTCACAGACCTGTAACTTCTTCTTTAAGAGGCTCCTCTGTCCTCCACTCGTTACCTGTATTAATGGCACCTGTTTGAACTTGTTATCAGTATAAAATACACCTGTCCACAACCTCAAACAGTCACACTCCAAACTCCACTATGGCCAAGACCAAAGAGCTGTCAAAGGACACCAGAAACAAAATTGTAGACCTGCACCAGGCTGGGAAGACTGAATCTGCAATAGGTAAGCAGCTTGGTTTGAAGAAATCAACTGTGGGAGCAATTATTAGGAAATGGAAGACATACAAGACCACTGATAATCTCTCTCGATCTGGGGCTCCACGCAAGATCTCACCCCGTGGGGTCAAAATGATCACAAGAACGGTGAGCAAAAATCCCAGAACCACACGGGGGGACCTAGTGAATGACCTGCAGAGAGCTGGGACCAAAGTAACAAAGCCTACCATCAGTAACACACTACGCCGCCAGGGACTCAAATCCTGCAGTGCCAGACGTGTCCCCCTGCTTAAGCCAGTACATGTCCAGGCCCGTCTGAAGTTTGCTAGAGTGCATTTGGATGATCCAGAAGAGGATTGGGAGAATGTCATATGGTCAGATGAAACCAAAATATAACTTTTTGGTAAAACCTCAACTCGTCGTGTTTGGAGGACAAAGAATGCTGAGTTGCATCCAAAGAACACCATACCTACAGTGAAGCATGGGGGTGGAAACATCATGCTTTGGGGCTGTTTTTCTGCAAAGGGACCAGGACGACTGATCCGTGTAAAGGAAAGAATGAATGGGGCCATGTATCGTGAGATTTTGAGTGAAAACCTCCTTCCATCAGCAAGGGCATTGAAGATGAAACGTGGCTGAGTCTTTCAGCATGACAATGATCCCAAACACACCGCCCGGGCATCGAAGGCGTGGCTTCGTAAGAAGCATTTCAAGGTCCTGGAGTGGCCTAGCCAGTCTCCAGATCTCAACCCCATAGAAAATCTTTGGAGTGAGTTGAAAGTCCGTGTTGCCCAGCGACAGCCCCAAAACATCACTGCTCTAGAGGAGATCTGCATGGAGGAATGGGCCAAAATACCAGCAACAGTGTGTGAAAACCTTGTGAAGACTTACAGAAAACGTTTGACCTGTGTCATTGCCAACAAAGGGTATATAACAAAGTATTGAGAAACTTTTGTTATTGACCAAATACTTATTTTCCACCATAATTTGCAAATAAATTCATTAAAAATCCTACAATGTGATTTTCTGGATTTTTTTTTCTCATTTTGTCTGTCATAGTTGACGTGTATCTATGATGAAAATTACAGGCCTCTCTCATCTTTTTAAGTGGGAGAACTTGCACAATTGGTGGCTGACTAAATACTTTTTTACCCCACTGTATGCAGGTACTGATGAGGGGATATGAACCAGGTGTGTGTAATAAGCAAGACAAAACTAATGGAATGATGAGATGAGGAGCGGCAGTGGCTAGAAGGCCGGTGACGACGACCGCCAAAGCCTGCCCGAACAAGGAGAAGAGGCAGCTTCGGAGGAAGTTGTGACAAAATCTTCCAATAGTTTATATTGTCAGTTGTATAGGCTCTCTGCAAGGTTTCGTAAAGCTTACCTATCATATGAATATCCTTTTCTGACTCATAGGATTCCCTCAAAATTGCTCTGATGTCCAAAAGATTTCTAACTGAAATGTTGTGATATATAGCTTTTAAGTTGCATGTATTTGAAAATATCTACATTGGTCAACACAAAATTGCTTTTTAAAGCTGTCATGGAAATAAATGTATTTCCTATTACCAAGTCATTTACGGTTTCTATGCCTTTAGTTTTCCATGTGGGGCAATTTATCGATGAATTCTGAAAAGTTATCGAAGGATTGTTCCATAAGTTTGTGTTTCTGAAAAGCTATCCAAGCATTGTTCCATAAGGTTGTGTTTCTAGGGAGAGATATTGGTTCTTGTAAAATACATCTCATTTTCTTCCATATCGTTATAGTATTCTTAACTATGAAGTTGTTAATGTTCTTAGCTTTATCCTTTGCAAATAGACATGTAAAAAGATTCTGGGGATGAACATGAACGTCTTCAATATGTACCCATTGTTTCTCTTAAGTGCATTTAACTATATGTTGCAAGTAAAAGCCTTGTGTAGCAAGCTGATACAATTCCATGTCTGGAAGGTTGAAACCACCCTCAGATTTAGGAAGATGTAAAACGTTCCTTTTTTATTCTATGAATAGTATTTGCCCATATATAGTCTGTTATAACTTTTTTAACGAATAATAATGGAATAACACATTCATAAATGGCAAAAAAGACAGTCAAAAAATTAATTATAAGGAATAAGGTTTTGAAGTGTTTGTCCTATATCTAGGAGATATAAGAAAGCTCAGTAAATATATTTGTATTTGTTAATACTTTCTGAAGTTACTGTATATATATTTGTTCTGGTGTAGAGTAAAACACTCAAAACCACTCCCATCATTATCATATTTCTCAGCATGCTTTATTGGAGGTAGATTTAAAAAAATAGTTTGTTTCAATATCTGTGTTTTTGCATGTCCAGTGATTAGTATATTTATGCTACACAAAGATAAATAACATACATGTATTTCCCCAAACTAATCCAATCTGTTACTAGTTGAATTTATTGCACCCATTACTGAGAAAGTTGTTCCAGTTTAGATGATTTAGGTAGTCTAATATATCAGTCTTACCTACCCTGGCTGTCATTCTGAATGCAGGTTGCGGGTGACTAAAAGTTCAAATTGTTTTATATCCTCAGTGGCTGGATTCCAATAGCAATTACACATCACTTACCAAGCCAGCATAATGTGAATTGCAGGCCTGATGTGGCCTGTAAACCAGGAGTTTCATTTTTAGGGTAGAACTAGGCCCTCAAATAAAGGCCTTATGATATATACTGTATGTAATGCATTGTCATAAAGAGTTTAATTTTAAAGGCTAATAAGGTTGGTCGAACCGTTCATAGAGGGTTCTAGGAAGATTCCTTCAAAGATATAAGGGTTCTCGGGCGGCAGGTAGCCTAACGGTTAGAGCATTGGGCCATAACCGAAAAGGTCACTGGTTCGAATACCTGAGCCGACAAGGTGAAAAATCTGTTGATTTGCGCTTGAGCAAGACACTTAACCCTAATTTGCTCCAGTGGTGCTGTACTACTATGGATGACCCTGTAAAACTGCACCTATCTGGTGTCTGTGACAGTACATGGAAGCAGCCTTCTATTGAAGCAGTTTGAGGGTTTGAAGAGGGTTCTACCTAGCACCAAAAAGGATTCCACTATGGGGACAACCCAAAGAAACCTATATGGTTCTATTTAGCTCCTTTTTTTTCTAAGAGTGTATCCTGTTACTCAAGCTGTAACCAGGAGAGCCCAGGCATCAATAGTTTCCCTTATGGTGGAACAGATGTTGGAATATATACAGCATCCCTTAACGGCATAATCACTGGGCTGTGAAGGCTTTTCAATGGAACTGCTGAAAATGAAAAACAGCTTTTGTGATGTGTGAAACCTAATACCTCAGGTGCAGGTACCGATCATCAGGGTGAGCTAAAACCTGTTAAAACCGGATTTGCCCAAACCTCCAATACAGTAAATGTGTAGCTACTAATGATGTATATTGCAATTGGCCAGATAGAAAACATGGTAGGGTTTGTTGGTCATGTAACATGAGCATTTGGATAAGTTTCACATGACAGGCTGTGTGTGTTTTGGTTGTTTTTCACATATAGTTCCACATTTATAATTACATTGTAGTTATTTAGCAGACACACTTATCCAGAACGACTTACAGTTAGTGAGTGCATACATTTTTATACTGGTCCCCCGTGGGAATCAAACCCACAACCCTGGCGTTGCAAGCGCCATGCTCTACCAACTGAGCTACATGGGAAACACAATAATGAGTGACTTGTTCATGTTTTCTGTTCTCTGTTTGTTTGTTTTCTGGTCATAGTTCCTCCAGTAGTGAGTGTGCCAGTTGATGTTCCTCCTGTCATTGGGGAGAATGAGGTTGTCTTGGCAACCTGCGTGGCTGCTGGTGCCAAGCCACAGGCAGAAGTGAAGTGGAAGACAGGGTACATTCGGCAGTTTGTTGAGGACGGTGACTAACTCCACCAAGCACGCCAACGGAACCACCACTGTACTCAGCCACCTGCTCGGGGTGCCAACCAGAGCAGCCAATCAGCAGCAGGTCCAGTGTGTCGTCAACCAGTCTGCCCTGACAACAGAAAGTAGCTACAACTATACCATAAACATCCACTGTAAGTATATACTCCACTACCACTGTCCTACACTATAGACATCCACTGTAAGTGTCTTCTACTACCACTGTCCTACACTATAGACAGACACTGTAAATATATTCTACTAACACTGTCCTACACTATAGACAGACACTGTAAATATATTCTACTACTACTGTCCTACACTATAGACAGACACTGTAAATATATTATACTACTACTGTCCTACACTATAGACAGACACTGTAAATATATTCTACTACCACTGTCCTACACTATAGACAGACACTGTAAATATATTCTACTACTACTGTCCTACACTATAGACTGTAAATATACAGTCTCTCTCTGTCTCTCTCTCTCTCTCTCTCTCCCTCTCTCTCTCTCTCTCTCTCTCTATCTCTATCTCTATCTCTCTATCTCTCATAGATCCACCTCAGTCAGTGAACATCACCCTTAGTGAGGCCTCTAAAGCCACAGTCTTACTATGTGTAGCAGACGGCAACCCACAACCCAACTACACCTGGAGCAGGTACTCACTCCTATGTAAACTAGTTCAAAGCAGTTTAAATGCTAATGTTAGGTACACTTGTTTAAACATATGAGACATATATTAGCTTGAAGCTTCAGTATGTTCATAAATAATGTTGGTAGTCAAGTCATGCTTTTGCCTATCTCTCTCTCTCACACACACACACACACACACACACACACACACACACACACACACACACACACACACACACACACACACACACACACACACACACACACACACACACACAAACACACACACACACACACACTCAGCCCTTCTCTTCTCTCTCCCCCAGAGTGGGCCAGCCATGGCCTGGGTCTTCAGTGAGAGCAGAGGGAGACATACTGCACCTCCTCAGTCTCAGCTCTGAGCTGAATGGTCTCTATGTCTGTGAGGCCTCCAACCCCTACGGACGAGCAACTGGCTCCCTCTATGTACACACATCCTCTGGTGAGAAGCACCTGAGAGAGACACACACACACACACTATTCATGCTGGTTGCTTAACTGGTTGCTTATAATTGTTATATGATTGATTGATTTATTGAATACTTTATTGTTCCATAGGGAAATGTGTCTGGCAACAATACAGGCATTCCTGGCATACACATAAAACACATATATGAGGTTATGAGAAATGTGATGTAGCATGGATAACAAAGTTGAGCCAGATGCTCACTTATCTTTCACTGCATGTGTTAGTTTCAGACTTATGGCCTCATTCCTCTTTCTACAGGAAGGTACTGTATAACAACTACCTAAAATGGTAATGATACACACTTATCTCTTACTGCATATGTACATGTTTTATTACTTAGTTTTATCTCTTTGCTTTCTGCAGGAAAGTGTTTGCATCAGAGCCATGATGCTTGTTAGGTCAACACAATTATATGTAATTGTAAATACAGACTGTTTCCTATATTAACTGTATCCCCTCTCTCCTCACAGAGACCTCTGCTGCCTGTTGGGTTCTACTCATTGTCATTCTATGTCTGATTGTTACTGCGGCTGCACTCGTATGGTACTGGAGGAAATACGGACAGTTTCCTTGGTAATATCATCCACTGTGATATCATGAACTGAATTTTGTATTGTGAAAAAAATGCATTTGCATTAGATGATCATATATTGATTAGGCTCAATTTCATATGATATTTTGTTCTGGACGATATCTCAGGAATTCAATCATGGCCAATCACCAGTTCCAGGCACCCCCACAGGTATGTGACTATGTAAAAGTCCACCATTGTTGCGTGATTAACCTATCACATCAGCCACTTTTTGCTATGTAATAATACTGTTATAATGTCTGATGACAAGGTTGAGGAAGATGAACCTGGGACGTCTGGGTTCTAACACTCCAAACCAGGAAGGCGGATCAGGAAGAAGTATCGTGATGTAAGGAAAACAATTTCTTTGTTGTTCTTGAAATATTTGTTTTAAATTATTCAAAAAAATATTGTTTGTGCTATTGTCTATTCATGAGGTATATTTATTGTGCTATTTTAATGAAATCGCCGGACAGGCTGAGAGCGGATGCCAGAAGAATCTCAGACATGCACTGGGTGTGGGAAGAATTCCAGTCTGCACATTCTCCAATGTTCTAATCATTTGCAAAGAACAGCACATTCTCCGACCATCTAATGAACAGAGAGCCTCCGCATTATTCTCTGTGACATTAGAAACCTCGGCTCGGCCCCTCCTCCACCACAGCTTCTCTCGTGGACTCCGCCTTGTCATGGTGGAGGGGCTTTGTTTCTTCAGCGGGAACAACAACTCTCCTGTATGTATACAGTACCAGTCAAAAGTTTGGACACACCTACTCATTCAAAGATTTTTCTTAATTTTTACTATTTTGTACATTGTAGAATAGTAGTGAAGACATCAAAACCCATGAAACATATGGAACATATGTAGTAACCAAAAAAGTGCTAAAAAAATCTAATTGTATTTTAGATTTTAGATTCTTCAAAGTAGCCACCCTTTGCCTTGATGACAGCTTTGCACACTCTTGGCATTCTTTCATCCATCCTCACCTGGAATGCTTTTCCAACAGTCTTGAAGGAGTTCCCACATATGCTGAGCACTTGTTGGCTGCTTTTCCTTCACTCTGAGGTCCAACTCATCCCAAACCATCTCAATTGGTTAGAGGTCGGGTGATTATGGAGGCCAGGTCATCTGATGCAGCACTCCATCACTCTCCTTCTTGGTAAAATAGCCCTTACACATCCTGGAGGTCCTGTTGAAAAACAAATGATAGTCCCACTAAGCCCAAACCAGATGGGATGGAATATCGCTGCAGAATGCTGTGGTAGCCATGCTGGTTAAGTGTGACTTGAATTCCAAATAAATCACGGACAGTTTCACCAGCAAAGCACCCCCACACATTTGACTGGTACTCTATATCTGTCCAAATTATGAAAGACAAGAACTGTACTTTTGAATTCCGTAAAGTCAGTGTGGAAGAGGTGAAAAAATGATTGTTGTCTGTCAACAATGACAAGCCACCGGTGTCTGACAATCTGTATGGAAATTTACTGAGGATAATAGCGGATCATATTGCCACTACTAATTGCCACATCTTCAATTTAAGCATACTAGAATCTGTGTGCCCTCAGGCCTGGAGGGAAGCTAAAGTCATTTCGCTATCCAAGAATAGTAAAGCCCACTTTACTGGCTCAAATAGCCGACCAATCAGCCTGTTACCAACCCTTAGTAAACTTCTGGGAAAATTGTGTTTTTTCACAGTAAACAAATTGACAACAGACTTTCAGCACGCTTATAGGGAAGGACCTTCAACAAGCACAGCACTTACACTAATGACTGATGATTGGCTGAGAGAAATTGATGATACAATTATTGTGGGGGCTGTCTTGTTAAACTTCAGTGCAGCTTTTGACATTATCGATCACAGTCTGCGGCTGGATAAACTGAGGTGTTTGGCTTTACACCCCCTGCTATAATGTGGATAAATAGTTACTTGTCTAACAGAACACAGAGGGTGTTCTTTAATAGAAGCCTCTTAAACATAATCAAGGTAGAATCAGGAATTCCCCAGGGTAGCTGTTTAGGCCCCTTACTTTTTTCAATCTTTACTAACGACATGCCACTGGCTTTAAGTGTGTCTATGTATGCGGATGACTCAACACTATACACGTCTGCTACTACAGCAACTGAAATTACTGTAACACTCAACAAAGAGCTGCAGTTAGTTTCGGAATGGGTTGGAAGTAATAAGTTAGTTCTAAATATTCCTAAACTAAAAGCATTGTTTTTGTGACAAATCATTCACTAAACCCTAAACCTCAACTACATCTCGTAATGAATAATGTGGAAATTGAGCAAGTTGAGGTGACTAAACTGCTTGGATAACCCTGGATTGCAATCTGTCATGGTCAAAACATATTGATACAACAGTAGCTAAGATGGGGAGAAGTCTGTCCAAAATAAAGTGCAGCTCAGCCTTCTTAACTACACGATCAACAAGGCAGGCTCTAGTTTTGTTGCACCTAGACTACTGTTCAGTCGTGTGGTCAGGTGCCACAAAGAGGGACTTAGGAAAATTGCAGTTGGCTCAGAACAGGGCAGCACGGCTGGCCCTTAAAAGTACATGGAGAGCTAACATTAATGACATGCATATCAATCTCAAATGGCTCAAATTGGAAGAGAGATTGACTTCATCACTAGTTGTTTTTGTAAGAGGTGTTGACAAGCTGAATGTCTCTTTAAAATACTAGCACACAGCTCGGACACCCATGCATACCCCACAAGACATGCCACCAGAGGTCTCTTCACAGTCCCTAAGTCCAGACCAGACTATAAGAGGCGCACAGTACTACATAGAGGCGTGACTAAAATGGAATTCTATTCCACATTAGGTAACTTATGCAAGCAGTAGAATCAGATTTTAAAAACAGGTAAGAATACACCTTATGGAACAACGGCGACTGTGAAGAGAAACACACAAAGGTACAGACACATGCATATTCATACATTGTGATATTGTTCTATGGTGGTGTTAAACATTTTGTATTGTAGACACGTAGTGGTGTAATAATCTTATATGATGTACTGTTTTATATTTTGTTTTATATGTAATGTAAGTGTTTTAATATGTTTGGACCCCAGGAAGAGTGCAGCAGCTAATGGGGATCCCTAATAAATACAAATACAAATACTATACTGATTGGGGCATGCATTTCATTCTTCAGTGAAATGAAAAATATTTCAATATCTGTAGTGACCAGGCACTGTAGTTACCAGTAGCTGTTAGATCTCTCTAGTGGAAGTCAAGGAAAAACATATTTTGGTTACAATAACCAAACTGGCATTAAAGAAAAATAATTGTGGATTAATATTGAGAATTTATGAAGTTTTGAATGCTTTTATTTGTGGTATGATTGCTAGTTAGCCTATTGCAGATTTAGACAAATTATCCACCTACTACTATTATCACTATGAATGGTGGATAGAGGGCAGGATAGACAGACTGGTAGACTATATTGACCTGTGGTATAGTAAAAGTTAGTAAAAGGAAACGTGTAGTGCCTAAGGGAAGGACCAAAATACCTTGATATAGGGGAGGCGCATGCAAGCAGATTAGGAAATGTGGCTAGGATGGATGAAATTATCTAGTAAAACCTTCAAAAGTGTGAATGTAAACGGGAAAAACAGGGAAAAAACGCACTACCCTCCCCTGTGCCCAATAAAAAACCACACAACCCTCCCCAAAGATTTATTTTCCATTTTTGACAACCCTCCACCCCAGTAAATTTCGATCTGTCCCTACGTTTCTAACGTAGATGTTCATCTATGTTATATGAAATGGCTCACATCAGGTGTGTCTTTTTGAAATTTTTGACAAATGTTTATAAAAGGTGTATAACATTGTCTGCTTCATGACAGTAGTTGCATGTTCAATAATATGACACAAAGGGCTTGCTATTGTCGCATGTTTTTATGTTGGTCATGTAATTGTACTGTTTAAAAACGAATTTAACCATTTATTAACCAGTTAATGGGGGTTGGTTAGTTAGCAGCAAAATGTACCGAGATTTGCAGCCTAGTTACTCCCCAACCCTGTAAAAACATCAGTTGTTATCTATATTTCCAGTCGTACAACTACTTTTCCTTCTTTCTCCTTCTCTAAAAATTAAATGATTAACTGAGGAATGATACAGCTGAATAGCTTCACAGCCATAGAGCCGTGTGGGTTGGGTTAAAGCACTCCATTTTCAGCCATTCCCATAAGGATCATGCTTTGGTACTTTTCAGTGTAATAGGATAGCAATCAAGTTAGGAGTCTGGGCAGAGGCAAGATTCTGAATTTGATGTAGAGGACGTAAACAGTAACTCCTCTTTTTATTATTACAATGTCTGATGTACTGTGTTTTTCTTCTGATATTTTGTAAAAAATTACTGAACTGAGGAATGACACAGATGAATGCTTCACAGCCATAAAGCCATGTGGGTTGGGTTGAAGCACTCCAATTTCACCCATTCCCATAAGGATCATGCCTGGGTACTTTTCAGTGTAATAGGATAGCAATCAAGTTAGGAGTCTGGGCAGAGGCAGTGTTCTGAATCTGATGTAGATGGCGGAGGATGTAAACAGTAACTTCTTTGAGGGGAGGAATACTTTTTTTGTTATTACAATGTCTGATGTACTGTATTTTTCTTGTGACATTTTGTAAAAGCTTCCTCAGCCTCTCAGTTTCACGCCTCTGTCACTGGTTGCACATCCCATTGAGGGAAACCCCCCATCTCCATGAAACAGAGCCAAATGGGTGGTCAAACGTCTTGGCTAGGGCTGTGGTGGTCATGAAATTTTGTCAGCCCATGATTGTCATGCAAATAACTGCCGTTCTCACTGTAATTGACCGTAATTAACATAAACACATTTAGCATCTCCTGGCTTCCACGCATAGCCTACAAGCCACTGATGCAGACCCTTGGAACATCTACATATTCAAAGTCTAATAAATCAATTTAATATAGCCTACACCATCACAATAAATCCATTATTTAATTTACACAGGTCTAAAGAAACATTATATGAAGTAAATGTAGCCTATTTCAGAAGAACAGAATAGCATATTCTGAGTTGTCCTTATGTTACGCCCTGATCTGGCTATGCCATATGACTGTGGGCTAAGCTAGTTCATTTAGCAGACAAGATTTGCTTAGCATTCCGTGGTATTATTTTATATTATTTTAAAATATGAAGAACACAATTGAACATAAAATATAAAGGATATTTTCCCCAAATGATTTCTGAGGGAGTGTGTACATGTGGCTACTCTGTGTTGAGCGGTTAACAAAGAAACAGGTCCTCCTATATGCTTCATTTAGAGTTTTTTTTTTTTTTTTCGTCATTTAGCAGACGCTCTTATCCAGAGCGACTTACAGGAGCAATTAGGGTTAAGTGCCTTGCTCAAGGGCACATCGACAGATTTTTCACCTAGTCGGCTCGGGGATTAGAACCAGCGACCTTTCGGTTACTGGCACAATGCTCTTAACCACTAAGCTCACCCATCTAGTGTCACGATCGTCGGGAACAGAGGACCAATGCGCAGCGTTGAATGCAAACATATTTATTTAATCTGAACGATAACACGAACAAAACAACAAAACGATAACATGACGTCCTTAGCTCAAACACAACCTACTAGGAACACGGAACAAGATCCCACAAACACTGAGGGAAAACGGACTGTATAAATATGGTTCCCAATCAGAGACAACCAGCAACAGCTGACACTCGTTGCCTCTGATTGGGAACCACGCTGGCCAACATA